TTGGTATGGTTGATGGTGACGTGGTTGTGTGTGTGTTATACCACAATCTCCCTCACATGTCACTTGGTATCAGAGGTTGTCATTGGTTGGTAACGAAGGTTGTGATTGGCCAATAATGATGAATTTCCGGCAACTATCTCTAAATATGTGTTCTCTCTCTTTCTCTCTCTCCCTCCTTCTAGCCCGACCAACCATAACCCAGCTACTGAACAGACCGCCAAATTACTAATCTTGTAAACAGAACATAAATAAAATGTTTAAAGTGATCGAACAACACAGAACGGATTAATTAATGAATATATTGACGGTTTACTGAATATTTATCTTGAGGGCGGATCCCGGAAGCACTTAATAATTGCTTTGTTCGGTGGTAAAAATTATAGTGGTAATTGGGCAGTGATAATATTTAAGCAACAGTAATAATAATAATAACAATAACAACAATAATAAAATAATAATAATATTTCCCGTATTTAAAACCATTAAAATTTTTGGTGCATATAAAGGAGCAATTGACTATATAAATTCCTTTAAGTTTATTTTGTATGTCTCTGCCACTCTGTATATCTGTCTTTTAAGTGATATAAAGGGCGTTTTTTGTGGTGATAGATTAGCTGATATATATAACATGAATCAGGAATTTTCTAAGTGGGTGGGGGAGGGTGAAGGGGGGCGGTAGGCTTGAAAAGTATACTCAGTAAAAACATTTCTTTAATAAGCTTCAAAATAACCCCAAATATAGATGAAAGTTCTCGTTATATCCAGGGTTCGTTAGATGTGAAACCTCTATTGGAAAGAACATGGAGGAAAAAATAGATTATGCAAAAAATTCTTTGTATTTTTTCCCTACATTTGCTGTTTTATTATGATTGTTATTTATTTATTTATTATTATTATTATTATCGTCATCATATTTATCCAATTTTGTACCGCATTTAATTATAAAAAATAACCACATTCATCAGTTATCATATATAGTACCCTGACCCTGGCGGAGTTATCTTACTACATCTGCTGAGTCACGTATGATAACAAAATTGCAATCAACACTACCAAAGATTTTTAGATTTAATATTGTTCCTTACTGGTAGTGAGAGAACTTTCAGGTTGTAACATCACTTAGAGATCTCTTTCCATTGGGGCTTGTTACTGGTATTTGAGGACGCTGGTATCCACATCAAAATCTT